GTAGTTGGTCACATAGGTTGTAATGACAAGCTGTGATAACGTCCATTCTGCTTGATTGGGTCGGGCTCGACGGGCCAATGGACCATAGTGCAAGTTGGGGTAACTGGATTGGCTTTGGGCCAATTTTGGTCGGTCTGACAGAATGGGTGCGTAGACAGATTGGGCCGAGATCCGGGATGTGAAATCGTACTTGTCGCTTCTGTGCTGTAAGCATCGCTCTACAACAAAACTGTGAGGTCTACACATCATGTTCTTCTGCCATTCCATTTTGCATAATTAGATGGCTCTGGTGGGCATCCGTCGGGTAACACAGATTCGTGCAATTTTGGAGAGTTTTTGGATCCTATTTGGAGGCTATAAATAGGCTAAAAGAGGTGAAGAAATTTGGAGTCTCCCATCCTGCTTGTACAATCAACGAAGCTTCCCTTTGCGTTGCCATTACCCAACTAGGAGATTTTCCGCACCGTTGTGGAGTTTTTTGGAGGGGATTTTCGGTGCAACCGTTGAGTTTCTCGGAGGGGGATTTTCGTGCCGCTGTAAGCATGTTTTTGGAGGGGATTTTCTGCGCACTTGTGGCATTTTTCAGAGGAGAATTTCTGCACATATAGGTCATAGTTGAAAGATGTGGTAGTAGTTGGTCATGTAGGACGTGGATTGTTGTTTTGGTGGCGTTGGTTGGTCATAAAGGCCGTAGTAGGGAGCTGCAGGAGCTCTGGACCATGCAGGCTATAGTTGGTTACGTAGACAATAGTGATGAGTTATAATAACATCCGTAGGGCATAAAACTAGAGATGAGAGCCACTTGAGTTGTGGACCATGCATGTCGTAGTTGGTCACGTAGACCCTAATAATGAGCCACAATAACGTTCGTAGGCTATAGAGGACATAATTGGGGGTTGCATGAGCTGCGGACCTCGTAGGCCGTAGTTGGTCACATAGGTTGTAATGACAAGCTGTGATAACGTCCATTCTGCTTGATTGGGTCGGGCTCGACGGGCCAATGGACCATAGTGCAAGTTGGGGTAACTGGATTGGCTTTGGGCCAATTTTGGTCGGTCTGACAGAGTGGGTGCGTAGACAGATTGGGCCGAGATCCGGGATGTGGAATCGCACTTGTCGCTTCTGTGATGTAAGCATCGCTTTACAACAAAATCGTGAGGTCTACACATTAGGTTCTTCTGCCATTCCATTTTGCGTCATTAGATGGCTTTTGTGGGCATCCGTCGGGTAACACAATTTTGTGCAATTTTGGAGAGTTTTTGGATCCTATCTGGAGCCTATAAATAGGCTAAAAGAGGTGAAGAAATTTGGATTCTCCATCCTGCTTGTACAATCAACGGAGCTTCCCTTTACGTTGCTATTACCCAACTAGGAGATTTTTCGCACCGTTGTGGAATTTTTTTGAGGGGATTTTCGGTGCAACCGTTGAGTTTTTTGGAGGGGGATTTTCGTGTCGCTGTAAGCATGTTTTTGGAGGGGATTTTCTGCGCACTTGTGGCATTTTTCAGAGGAGAATTTCTGCACATATAGGTCATAGTTGAAAGATGTGGTAGTAGTTGGTCATGTAGGACATAGATGGTTGCTTTGGTGGCGCTGATTGGTCATAAAGGCCGTAGTAGGGAGCTGCAGGAGCTCTGGAACACGCAGACTATAGACACGCAGACTATAGTTGGTTACATAAACAATAGTTATGAGTTATAATAACATCCGTAGGACATAAAGACTAGAGATGAGAGCCACTTGAGTTGTGGACCATGCAGGTCTTAGTTGGTCACATAGACCTTAGTAATGAGTCACAATAACGTTCGTAGGCTATAGAGAACATAGTTGGGGGTTGCATGAGCTGTGGACCTCATAGGCCGTAGTTGGTCACATATGTTGTAATGACAAGCTGTGATAATGTCCATAGGCTGCAAAGGCCAGAGTTGAGAGCTGCAGTTGTGGACCAAATAGGCCGTAATTGGTCCTGTATGTCTTAGTGGTGAGTTTCGATAATGTCTGTTTGTAGGCCACAGAGGTCAGGGTTGGGAGCTACATAAGATGTGGACCACGTAAATCGTAATTGGTCACATATGTCTTAACATGTAGCTGTAATAACATCCATAAGCCATAGAGGCTAGCGTTAGGAGCAACATGAGTTGTGAGCCACATAAGCTGTAGTTGGTCACATATATCGTGGGTGAGCTGTGATAACATCCGTGGGACCACAACTGCATTCCTATTGGTGGGAATTGTTATGACATTCCTTAGATATGGCTCATTAGTCAATGCATTCATTTAAAAAATTAATCTATTTTTTAGCTGTGGGTTTGAATGAAAGTAATTGTTTTTTAAGCAAACATCAATCTTCAAATTAAATTCTGTCCGACTGAAAATCTATGGGCGGGAATTGTGACAAATTTGAAGGTGGTGCCAATGGTAAGTTTGAAGGTTGGGATTGTTAGATTAGTAAGTGGAGGCTACATTGAACCATAAGGAAAGACTACAGTGTAACTAGAAGTTACTACAATGATAAGATCAAACATGACAACAATGATAGGTTGAGGATGGGGACTACGCCAAAACAAAGCATGACTATTACGGTGGGCCTAGAGATTGTAGAAATGATAGGCCAATAGGAGTTGATTGCGACATGTCTGGAAGTGTAATATTAATAAGCTTGTGTACTACTTGTATCAAGACTAGAGGTGATAACTATGGCTAACCCTATTTTAAGTGATGACTTCGGCTAAACACTTGTTTGATACACAAAGTTGTTCGAGGCTTTTCAAGAAAAAATTATTTCTAACATTCGTTGAGCAGGACCTGACACAGTCCAGATATGGTTATACACACCTTGAGAACACATGAGAGACATTCTATCCGTGAGATATCAATACACATGCAAAATATATGACAACTAATAATGAATGCAAATATTTGAGTCTTAACAAATGATCATCGTCACATGTGATAAGCCATTTCTTTTATTATTAATGGGGGAAAATGAATGCACTGTAATAAAAAAAAAGAAAGTGTAATTGAAATGTAATATATTTGTAACTAGTTTAGAACTATTTGGTTAGTTTTTAACTAAATGCAGGAGTTTACATTTTTGTGTTGATTTGATAAAAAATGAAATTAATGTAAAACTCAACAATGGATGGTGGTCATTAGTTGGCTTGTGAGTGGGGGGCCACAAATGACTGGCAAGCAAGGGCAGTAGATGGTAATGAATGGTGGCGCTCAACGGTTGTGGTAGCAGTTTCGGCAATGTATTTGAAAATTTGCTGAATCTTGCATTGCAATACACCATAAATGAAATATAGGATAGGTTTGGAATTTAGTAAAATTTTAGTCAAGATTTTAAATTATTTATACCAAACACCAGAATTCTAGAATTCATTCATGCCAAATGTAATATGCCCGTTCTACATCCAATCTAACGGCCCTAATAGTGTTTTTTTTCTTTTTTTTTTATTGTTTATTTTCTTTTGTAAAGTATGTGCATATAAAATTATATTTGGCTATATGATTCTTTAGTAGAAAATAATATAAATTATATATTTATATTAATAATTTGTAAAATATAATATTGTGCCCATTGCATGTTTTGTCTGACTTTTTGTACTTATGTTGCGTTACTATGACATTGTCCTTTAATGTCCATGCTTGTGCTTGATAAATGACGAACAAGCGAAAGCAATTGTCAAGGAGCATCAACTACTGACAACAATGAGTGTCATCAAATCGTTGAGTTGAACCTAGCGTTAACAATGATTGAAATTAGGGAACGATGACAAGTTTGTTGTTGGTTGTTGATGAACCAGTACTCATTGTCAACAACTAGTATCATCTTCATCATCAGTGGGTACAACTCCAAATATTTTTGAGAATTCTCCCATGTTAATTTAACTGGATGTATTTATAAGCTTAGAGGGTTAATTTGGTCACATAATGTTCTAAATTCTAGCTTATCTAAAGCATATGGAAAAAATTGAAGCCCTCCCTGAAAATTTGTTAAAAATTCAAATTGAATGCATCGATCCTCAGATAGGTAGTTATAATCGATATGGATGTCTTTGATTGGCAATCCAGGCATGCTGCATTGTTGGTGGATAAATTTGTGTGTTGGTGGTGACAGAGAAGCGTTTTGCCATATATGACTGATGATGAGATGTAGGATTGGCCTTTTTCTGTATGGATTTGGTAGATTCGAGGTTGCTTTAACAAAATTTTGATCCTCTTTTGGCTAATTCAAACATTCACAAACTCGGCCTGAAAGACATTCTGTAATTTGTAGGGGGTTGATAACGCAATTTTGTGCTTTTATGGACCTGTTTAATTTGTTCCAAGTAAAATTGGCCTCCAGTTTGATCTTTTATGATCCTTGAAATTTGTATTTCATGTTAGAAGCCATGAGATTTTAACGCTCTTAAAACTTCCAAAACACCTGAGTTTTAGTAAAGTTTACTTTAATCACCATATTGAGAACATATCACTTGCTAAAAGTTTGAACTGGTAAAAACGTTACCGTTTTCCGATTCCTATTTCTTATGATGATTTCGTGCTATATTCTTTTGCTTGTTTACTCAATTTATTTATTGAACTCTTTTCTTCTTTGCGATCATCTCAATAATCTTTTACTCAAAATGTTAATGATTTAGATTACCTTTTTATTGATTAATTATTCATTTATAAATTTCATGTCAGAGTTACTGTATATTCAAATGCTATTTATTGCTGGCTTCACTGCCGTAATATTACTTGTTAGTAACTTTCACTTGGAATCTTGAAACTTTTTTGCTGCATTGCTGGTTTTCAGCAATTGCTTCTATGATTTATTAATGCTTAATCTCCAGCAACAACATGGTCATAGGAATTGGAGTGAACATCTTTTATGGCTTTATATTTTCCTCTGTTACATCGAAGTTTTAATGTAAAAGATAAAAAATTTATGTCACCTTAAAGACTAGTCATTACCTCTACTCATCGAACCATGCCGAAACATTTTGAACCAGGGAATTTCAAGAACATGTTAAAGATATATCACACATTTCGAAAGATATGTGTCGGACTGTTATTGTAGACAACAATCCTTTCAGTTTTTTGCTTCAGCCATTAAACGGGATACCATGTGTTCCATTTTCCGCTGGACAGCCTTATGATGAACAGGTAACAGAGCAATCTTCTTTTAGAAATTTTATTTTTGGTTCGATTTGTTGCAGTAAATTAAAGATTAAGCTTCTGTAAAATAATACAAAATAAATTTGGCCTCATTTTTCCTTTGCTTCAATGCTAAGATGAGAATACTTTATAGAACAATGTATTCTATCTGTGAGACTTTTACTTATGAGGGCTGCCATCAAGCCAAATATGGCTAGTCGAAATGACTCGTCGAATGCTACATAGCATCTGATTCACAAAAACTTGTTTCTGTAAAAAAAAGGATTTTTACGCAATTAGTGGTCATATTATTCAGCTTTGTTGAAATACAAGGAAAAAAAAATTCAAGAATCATCATTTTTCTTTCAATATATTTACTGGCACTTTCCTTGACTTCCTTCTGATCAGCTGTTGGGTGTTATTCTTCCACTTCTGAAGCGCCTCTCTCTCCAAAAGGATGTGAGGCCTGTACTGTACGAGAAATTTAACATGCCAGAATGGTTTAAACAGCACGGAATCCCTATTGCTGTTTCCAAGTAGAGTATGATTTGTGCCAGTCATTTATTGGACAACGGTAACGGTAACTTCATCCGAGCCGTTGGTCTGGTTTGCCTAACCCCGTAATTTCTGTACATTTTGTATTGTTAGGTTTGTGGATATTGTTGAGTGTTTAAAGTTTGTTATTTGTGATGTTTAAAAAAGAAATGAAAAATGTCTGTTTGTATGTTTCGGTTGATTGGTAATATCAGGAAAGCCCATGCTAGTGGGAAGAAAATGAAAAAAAAGAAGAAGAAGAAAGTTTTGCTTCGCGGTTTGTGCAATTAAATTGTAAAATGTATTAAATTTGGAAGTTCTGGTTTTGCGAAGATAGGGTTTAGGAAAAAATGCATCTTTGATACGGATGAAGCATAATTGTTTGGGCGGTTGTTCTGCAAACATTTATCAAGTCAAATTAGGAATGAATTGATTGGCCGGCTGGCATAATACTGGGATGGTTGCAGGTTGCTTGTAGGAGGCTGCAATTATTTGTAGTGGTTGGACGATATTATTATTATTATTGTACTTTCACTGATAAAATTATTTTTATCGATAATATCATAATAATATTATTGTTGGAGCTTGCTTGTTTGAATCTTATTGTTGTACTTATTATCAATATTGTTATTGTCGTTAAAAAACAATATTGTTATTATCGGAAGATTTACTCGTCTTAGTGTTGTACAAATATTTGTACGCAAAAAAAAAAAAAAAATCTAAAAACATTAATGTGAAATCATCTAAGAAATTAATTTTACAGGAAGATTTACTCGTCTTAGTGTTGAGTGTTGTACAAATATTTGTACGCCAAAAAAAAAAAAAAATCTAAAAACATTAATGTGAACTAAGATTTATCTATAAATTACACCTGTAAAAATAACACTTAAACATGCAGGAACAACGAGAGAGAGTAGGGAAAGATGAGTCTCACGAGGGCAAAATTAGTGATTTACTCGTGTCATTTCTAAAAAGTTCAATTTTACACGCTTTGTTCTCATATTTATAGTGAATAGATGGTACATTATGAAATGTTGATAATGCTAATAAGATCCTCTCAGTGTTGGTTGGTTGCAGCAACCGTCAAATACTAACATTACATTGATTACTTTCTTATCGGATTGTTGTTTTGCTCGCTCCTTTGTTGGAAGTCATTCATTTGCTTATTGGGTTGACCTTCTTGGCTCAGTTGGCATGATAATTTGCTCCATTCTAGTTGGGAGCTCTTTGTATTTAGTGGTTTACACTTTGACATGTGTTCCTTCTAGAGCTGTCGAATTTGATTCAACATACTTTGATCGTATATTTTTTAGTTCCTCAATTCTCTGGTATATTAGTAGGGTATAAGTCGCATTAGTAGGGTATAAGTCGCCATAAGGGCAAGATAATTAAATGCAATAGTGATTAGCATTGTTTTTTTAATTAATTTCTAGTAATTGATACTTCCTTGATCTTTGGTGTGTTGGTTACTTCTTTTTCAGTGTATGTTCGCTGCCTAAATGCTCCCAGTGTGGTACAATTGTTGATGATCCACTTATACTCCAACTTTCCCATTGCTTGTCTCTATGTGGACAAACCAATCTTCTTTAACACAAGAACCCGTTCTTGAGATCGAAGAATTTGACCCGGAAGAAGATTACCAATCTTCTTTAACACAAGAACCCTTTTATGAAGGTTCTTGAGATCGAAGAATTTGACCCGGAAGAAGATAATATTGAAAATCATATTTTTGAACCAAACCCATATACTGCACAATTGATATATCTGCTCGCATCAAAGGAGCCCAATACCCGACAGATTATCTCAGAGAAGTAATTAGAATGACTTTAAGTGGTTCGACGATAATACTTCTGACATTCACAAAGGGTTAATGAACAGAAAATCATACTTGAATTCCTGTAATTATTTTCAAATGTTTTCTCAAGGGAAGAACTAGACATCATTGTTCAGCTTGTGATGGAAGTTTGTGACAAGGGTTAGGCTGGATATTTAGAAAGAAGGACATATTTCGAGCCTAGCCGCTGGAAGAGAGGCAAAGACATAATAACGATGCAATATGGTAGTTGTCGTAACATCGCATTGGATGGGGAAATAAATCCGCCGAAGATTCTTCGATAAGATAGAGCTGATCCAATGCCACTGATAATAATAGAAGTAATCAAAAGGCTTGTAGCTTGCCTTATGATACCCGCAGATTATATTCCTAGCAACTGTATCATTAATATCTATGAGGAAGAGAATTGCATTCCTCCCCATATTGATCATCATGACTTTGAAAGACCATTCTGTATGATCTCATCGCTAAAAGAATGTTTCATAATATTCATGGCAGAATTGTAGATTGTAGGACCCAGAGAGTTTAGGGTCCTCATAAAGATACCCCTCCCACTCAAATTTGTCCTCGTTTTACAAGAAAATGGAGCCGATGTAGCAAAGCACTACATCCCAGGAGCAACCCGACAAAGGATCTCCATCACACAGAGGAGAATGAGCCTGGAGAAGCACCCAGTAGACTTTCGTCCGAAATTAGAACTCTAGAACCTGCAACCTCTAGAAATACATTTACCATTTTACCACCCCAGCACCCGAGGGTACAAGAAAGAGCATGTCTCTGATACTACCTCAGAGTGCAAGGTGTCTACAACTGGTTTTGTGGTTTGGAAGGGTAATACAATAAAGGGAGAACTTTAAGTGCTATTGCAGAATGTCTGGATGGGAGCGTGACACAATGCAGCTATTGTTCGATGTTTCTTTTGATGAAGATATTGTAATTTGATCATTGGACATTTCAATTACATGAAAAATGCAATGGAAATTTTCATTTCTATGATTGAAAATCCTATTGAAAGAAACTTCTAACAACTTTCTATGCATTTCCAAAAGAACGATATAAACCAGACACTAATTCGAAGCAAGGTATCCTGAAAAATAACATACATAAAATAAAACAACCCTTAACAGAATTACAAACTAAAACAAAATTTGGGCAAGGTGTAATTTTCTTAAGTTGGCCTATACCCAACATACATTTAAACACCTTTCTTGCTGGCTAGGTGGAAGTAAGTCCCTCCTTGAATGGAATAACGACTTTCCTCTAGCTTACTTGTTCTCCTCTTAGTTAGGATGTAAGTCCATCGACATTCTTTCTTAATGAGTAAGTACATGGCATTTACCTTTCGATAATTGGTATAAGACCTCCTTTAATGGAATACAACATATGTTCTCTCTCGCTAGGTGGATGTAAGGCCCTCCTCAAAGGGAGTCATGGCTTTCCTCTAGCTTACCTATTCTCCTCTTAGTTAGGATGTAAGTCCATCGACATTCCTTATTAATGAGATAGGGACATGAAATTTACTTTTCGTGAATTGGTATAAGACTTCCTTCAATGGAATACAACATTCGTTCTCTCTCGCTAGGTGGATGTAAGGCTCTCTTCAAATGGAATCATGTCTCTTCTCTAGCTTACCTGTTCTTCTTTTAGTTAGGTTGTAAGTCCTTCAGAATTCCTTTCTAACAAGACAGAGACACGACATTTACCTTTTGTGAATTGGTATAAGACCTTCTATAATGGAATACGACACCCATTCTCTCTGGATAGTTGAATGTTGCCCTCCTCAAATGAAATCATGACTTTCCTCTAGCTTATCTATTCTCCTCTTAATTAGGATTTTAGTCCAACGACAATCCTTCCTAAGGAAATAGGGACATGACATTTACATTTCGAGAATTGGTATAAGACATCCTTTAATGGAATCACGACATTCCTCTAGCTTACATGTTCTCCTCTTAATTAGGGTTTAAGGCCATCAACATTCTTGCCTAATGAGACTGGGACCTGATATCAACTTTCGAGGATTGTTATAAGACCTCCTTCAATGGAATACAACATCCTTCTTCTCTATTTTTTTTCTTGACTAGTTCTCGAAGTGGACGTGAGGCCCTCCTTGAATGGAGTCATGAATTTCTTTTAGCTTACTTGCTTTCCTCTTAGTTAAGATGTAATTCTATCGACATTCCTACCTAAAGAGACAGGGGCATAACATCATCTTCTGAGGATTGGTATAGAGCTCCTTAATTTGATGACAGATTTCCTCTTCAAACCAGTTACTTGTCTTTCGACAACTTTCGCCTAAAGAACCCCCTAAAAATTGCTCTAGGGAGGGTTGGTCTACTCAACCAAATAACAACAAACAAATGCAACAATAGTTACTTGTCTTTTGACAACTTTCGCCTAAAGAACCCCCTAACAAGAGCTCTAGGGAGGGTTGTTCTACTCAACCAAATAACAACAAACAAATGCAACAACAAAATCTACAGTCATTATTCAACTTGATCTTTCTTGAACATCTTTCATTCCAAGAATCTCCAGTGACAATTTCAACTAAAACCTAGTCTTCACTAGACACCCTTTTGTCCTACGATTCCTCAGTAGATAGCTTAACCTACATGCTGCTAGGATGACTTGTAGACTTGATTTTTTGATTCATTCAATGCTAATATGTGGGACATATCTGTTGGGTACACCACACATATTGGGGGTCTGTTTGTTGACCTCGGCTGCTAGGATGACTTGTAGACTTGATTGTTTGATTCGGTCAATGCCAATATGTGGGATATATCTGTTGGGTACACCACACATATTGGGGGGTCTGTTTGTTGACCTCACTTTTGTGAGGACTTCTTCCCTCTCTATAGAAAACTGTGATTTAGCCTTAGGGTTTCCTAGTGACCTTTTTAGATGACTAGAGATGGAACTCACCCATATATGACTTCTAACCAATCCTACACTCACTTAAGGTTTCCAGGGATTAAGCACAAATCCTTAACCATTGGTTGAGATGGTTGCGGGTCTAACCCAATGAAAGCCCAAGTGGACAGTAGTTCGGGATGCATGGAGCTCAAAGCCATAGGAATTCCCTTAATGGTTCATTTAATACCTGGGTCTAACCCAATGAAAGCCCAAGTGGACCCTCTGTAGTTCGGGATGCATGGAGCTCAAAGCCATAGGAATTCCCTTAATGGCTCATTTAATACCCCTAGGAATCTCATTGATCTAAGAAAAACCCATCAAATAGGAAGCTAGACTTAAGCCAATAAGGGGTTCTTACCACATTACCCTAAAAGCCTTGGAAACCCCATGACATTAAAATTCAAACTGAAGGGGGGAGGGGTGAGGCCCCAAAGTCAAACTTTGGTCTCACTCAAAGTTTTCCCAACACCAATCAACCCTAGAATCAACATAAACGCTTAACACATCAACCCAAACCCTAAAATTTGGAATCACCAATATTTACTAGGATAACTAGTGAACAACTAAATTCCTCAAATCAAATCTAAAATCAATTCAAGATAATTGAGGCCAAAGAAACTTAAATATCAAGATTAAATTATGGATGCCCACTAAACTTAATTATTTTGGGGCAAACTTAATTACCTAAGGCTAAACTTAACTAAAAAAGCCCAACATTAACTTTAAACCCAAGCCAACATGGAAGAG